TAAATTGCATAAGATAGTCGATATTTTATTACAAAATGGGCTTTGTATTGTGCAATTTTGCCCAGATATAGGATAACATAAATATTCTGATCATATCTGAGGTAGGCAAGGAGGAGTTATGCTGATGGGTTGGTTAGGTGCACTAAATGCACTTTTGACTTATGATATATTAATTTATGATGGCTTTATTGGTATATAATTACAACCTAAGTCTAGAACACCTGTAGTCATATCCAATTATAGTTAAATCTGTGAGTCTAGAGTTAAGAAATGGAGATAGAAATCTGTGAACCATAAAAGTATATTTAGAGCCATACGACTAAAGAAGATCACCTAGGGAGAAAAAAGAGATATTTAGAATTATACCTTAGGCTAGAGAGACACAAGATGTCATGGAACAGGAGACCAGCAAAGGAAACTATGGAAGACTCATTAACAAGGAAGGAAAGAAACAAGAAAAAGTAGTGTACCAAGACAAGGGAAGAAAGTGCTGCAAAAATGTGGCCCACTCACATTCTCCACACATTGCCTTACTCAGTCTATCCCACTCATCCTTCAGAACAGGACACTTTTGTGATAAACCCTTTCTAAGCACTCCTGCCTCAGAAAGATCATCCTGTATTACATCCCTAAATCACAGCGTGGGCCTCAATAATTATCAAAATGATGTCTGCAGCTGCATCTTCGTTTCTCTGCTCTTCTTCCCAGCCCTACTCCTGCTCAAAAATGTGAGTCCTTGAGGGCCAGAAGTTTCCAACAGAATTGCTGGAATCTAATAATATATCACACAAACAGGAAGGAGGAAGTTAGATTTATTGAGATCCTGCTGCATATTAGGCAATAAGTCAATATTCTTTATGATGGTTATCTTAGTGCTCAAAAATGTGGATAAAAGAATGAAGGAAGGGCTGATTGAAGAGTAGCAATAGCACACATGATAGATAGATGGATAAGGGCAATTCAGACACAGGTAAAGCCCTGTAGGAAGATGAATGCAATAGGGCACCACAATTTCATGTCAATCATTGTCAAAATTATTCAGCTACTTCTTTCTAAATTCATCAAGCAAAATTCTCCAATATCATTTTGTTTCCTTTACAGATTCTCCTGTGGATTTAGAAAGTGACAACTAGTAGATATAAGTATCTGTTCCAACTGGCTGCTGTATTTCTCATTATGTGTGAATAAATTAAATGTCTATTGTAGACATTAGTCTAATGTAAATTTGGTTGGTGTGTTTCATTTTAGATTTCTAGTGATGATCAGTCTCCTTATTTCCTGTTTTCTGTTTTTGATCATTAAAGTGAAAAAACTAAGTTATGGGGACAACAAAATGGGACTGACTCAGGCAATCAAAAGAGATTGTGATATAAGAAATTTAAGACTCATTTTATACTGTGCGATTGACCGATATAGGAAAATATTGATTTCCATTTGTTTTACGTCTTGTTGACACACAATAGTGGTCAAGGTCATGATTCTTCTATAATGGGTTGGGGGAGCAGTTAATATGCAATGAGCTTTACCAAAAAAAAGAAAAAAGGTATTAGTTGCCTCAAATTTGATCCATTTTTTTTTCCTGAGTTTATTCTGTAAGTTGAAATATAGAATTCTAGAACCAGATGAACACATTCCAAATTTAAGTCCATCATTTGTCAGTATAGTCAATCTTGCTAAACTAGATCAATTTGTGATGTTTTGACAAAAGGAGGTTTATACCCCTTTGAAGAATATCATTTGAACTCTGCTGACACAGCTGAGATCATTTTGCTTTTATGTTGCTAACTGGATGTGTATGTGGTTTCCCTCTGGGGTGCCCACATCCTCTCTTTCTAAATTCTAGACAACAAAAAAAAATTTTTTTGGATGAACTGATTTGTGTCAGTGACGTAAGGTAAATAACAACTTTGTCACAGTTTTCAATTTTTAAAATATGTTGAACATTAATATTTCCTCTCTTTTCATTGATATCAGGGTGATGGGAATTCACAAGTATGTAGCTTCTTGTTGCTAGCTCATCTATCACACTCTATAAATCAAGGATTATATAGATTTTGTATTTTTATGTCCTACCTATCTTTTAAATATAAATCCTCTTCATGGCTACCATGACAACCTTAGTTTAGGACTTCCTTTACCAAGACTAGTGAAATAACTGTCACAACAGAGGCAATCTAATAGTTTTCACATCCATCATCCACAGAGTATTGGGTATAATCTATGGAAAGTACAAAGTAAGTCAGTGCTATTTTTGTTTAGAAATCTACTAATTGTTCCCTCCCTCCCTCTCTGTCTTCCTCCCTCCTTTCCTTCCTTCCTTCCTTCCTTCCTTATTTTTTGCCTTTGTGACAACAAAGATTGAACCCCATGGTGCACTGCCACTGAGCACATCACCAATCATTTTTATTTTGAAACAGTCTCATTAAATTATGGAGGTTGGCCTCAAATTTGCATTTCTCCTGCCTCAGCCTCTTACTGTTTGCCAGCTCTGTGCCACCACATCTAGCTAAATATTGTTTCTTAATTGCCTGTAAAGTAACAGCAAAGACTCACACCACCAGTACACTCTGAGACCCTGGAAAGACAGCCCTTGCTGGGGCATCATACTTTTGAGGAGGCAGGGAGAACCATTGAGTGGGAGCCAGAGGCTTGCCATACATGGCCATGCTCAGAAGCAGAACTTGGGAGATTCTGAGAATTCTAAATTCAGATTGTGTCTTCAGTCAATATAAAGTTATGTTGTGTTAGGTCAGGATATATTTCGTCTTTTAGAGCTTTATTTATTACTTATAATGTTTAGACATACCATACATGTGATATGTGAGCATCAATTCAGACTCCTACTCTGAATTTACAGATGTCGGGCCCATTTGGGTTTCTATTTGAGGCCTTTCATGCCATAGTCCTGCCCAACTCTTCAGTTCATCACCAACTGCTAGCCATCCACACTGTACCTATGGTACATTAACCCTAAAGTCTTTGTACCATGCTCTCCACACCATGACATGTAACATCTTTAGTTTCCATTCATACTGTTGTCTCTGATTGAAATAGCCTTCACAACTTTTCTGGCTAATTCATTAATCTCTTATTACACATTTTGTAAATCATCACCCACAATCTAAAAAAAATTCCTGACTTTACATACTCAATTTCCTCACAGTAGATTGTACAAACTTCATTCTTATGGTTACCTTATTATGATATAGCTATTTGCTTATGTCTCATAACAAAACAAAACAAAACAAAAACAACCCTGTCAACCTCTTGAAGGCAACATTTATCTTGTTTTCCAAATTATTATACTCTAAGAAATACATTCTAAACAAATACATGCTAACCCGACAAGTATGATTAAAAATGCATGTTATTTCATATTTCATTCAATCTATAATGACAAATGCCTTGAAAATATCATTTACTACAGTTGAACAGCTAAGTAACCTTAACTTATATAATGAAAATTTTGTTAATTGCATAAAAGACTGTCATCTTTGCCAAAGCCAATCCAAGGTTTTAAGAAGTCATTTTCCTTCTATAATACAATGTATATCAAATAATTAGGACAATGATAGTATACTGTAAGATGCTATGAAAATTGAAGCTTTAAATTTTGCATAAAATTCTCATGCTTTATTTTACCCTACCCCCAAAAAAATATCAATGGCAGTTCTAATGGCCACCTTTTATAATTTACATAAGACTAATAATTTTAAAAAATCATAACTGATATATTTTAAACTGTATTTAATTCATTAAAATTTTTTTAGAAAATAAAGTAAGCTACATTTTCAGATTTTAAGTGTAATTGTTTAGTCTATGATTCTTTAAATGTTTCAGAAAAAAAAAAGTATGCTTCTCAATGGCCATCTTATTTGAAACCCTAGAAAATCGTCCATTTATTATGTCACACAATTTATATAATCTAGCTTTCTTTCAGCTCTAATTATTGGTTGCACTTATACTGGGATCCAAGTCAACCCTAGTTCCTAAACTATTCTAATGACGGAAGCAAGGTATTAGCATTCTCGATTACTCTTGAAGTATCTTGCTTAGAACAAAAACAGAAGTTTCCAACAATGTAAATTTCCGTAAGCTGAATGTTTCAACATTAATTTTACCTACCACTGAGGCACTGAACTGTTTTGTGCTTTTTGTATTACATCTCTTCCCTTTACAGTTCTCCTGTTTGGTTTGATACCCTCAAACCCTTTTAGCCATTCTTTTCCTTACAAGCTTACAGTCTCCATCTCTGATCAGTCTCCATCTCTGATCGGTCTCCATATATGAAAACCACTCATATGAGGAAGAAATTGATATAGCCCTTAACCACGTGTCTGACTGTGGAAACTACCTGTCATCTAGATTTTTCCTAAGGTTAGCATCATCTTGAATAAGCATAACCCATTTCACTGTTAGAATTTGCCAATCCTTCTGTATTACCATGCTCTGTATATATTATGCTCATTAGTTGCTTTCCCAGGAGGCACTTTAACAGAACTAAATCCTATGCATAGCCTTTTACTCTACAACCTATCCAATCCCAGCTTCCTAAAACAACTCTGTTAATCTCTGGACCTCGGGTCTTATCTTGACCTGTTTGTGAACCTATGCTTCTTTGTTTTATTACACAAAATGAAAATAAGGAGACTAGAGAACATTTATTAAGCACATTTCAATTTTATGAATTATATTAGTAATAGGAAAAGAGAACCAGTTCTTTGAAACATCTAATAGGATATGACCTGAATGCCAGAGTTTCTGGATAAATTGAGAATGTAGCTCAGTAAGCAGAATGTTTGCCTAGCATGTGGGAGCCCTGGGTTCAATCCTCACAATTGAATTAAAAAAAAAATTAAAAAAGAAAAAGAATTTATGGACAGAATTACCATAAAAGTGGAGAGATACTAAAGTGAGACTGGCTCATATACTTAGGATTTTTTATAGTTAGAAAACTTATTGCATGATAAAGGATTTGTGTTGCAAGACATATATCTTACCTTAACTTCCACATGTGCCATAAGTACTGCAAAATTGGTTAGGTGGTTACAAGAGCAAGTAGTATGTGTCTTGTTTGTTGTCAGAAGCCGACAGCCTTGAGTTGACCAATAACCTGTCATTGTGCGCTTGGAGTAGCTCCAAAATGAACAGTTAGGGTTGAAATTTTCCTCTGACTGCTATGGCAAAAAAAAAAAAAGTCAAAAAAGGTAATAACTACTTGATGATTATATAAATTAGGTAAGCATTTTATTCATATATTACACAGTCTCATACTCCGTTCCAATTCTTGTAGTGATATTAACCAATGTTTTCATATGAAGTGGGACTCATCAGTTCTAAGAAAAATTGAATGTCTGTGATTTATTCTATCTTATTAGAGGTTAAATGTTCTTTAAATGATTATTATTAATAATATTAATATCAATATTTCTGAATCATATCAATTAATGTCAATTTCATAGTAAAGAAGTAAATTGCTAGGAACAATAAACTTCTAAAAGTATGCTCTTTAGAAATATTTGTTGAATTTACAACTTTTTTTTTACAATTTTTTTTATATACGCAAAACTATCTTCACACAAAGACATAATTACTTACAACATCATATGGCTCTACGGTTTCTTTTAATGTATGGCTAGCTCATTTTTAAAAAATCTTATGTTGTACATTTAAGGTATACAATATGATGTTATTGAATTCACATAATAGTAAAAAGATTACTATTGTAGAGAAGACAAAACATATCCATCATCTTACACAAACATTATTTTCTGTTTTTCTCTAAAGAGTAGCCATGATCTACTTATTCTCCTCCAACAAAAAAACAGCACTACCATGTCTTGCTGATAATGAATTGTATTATGTTAAATAATAGAAAGATATTAATAGAAAATGAATTTAATATTCAAGTTATATTGAACATGGAAAATGTGGATAATTAATCTTAACGTTCTTACCTTGATATGTTTAACAGTAAACACCACAGGATCAGCCAAATAAACCTTATTACTGAACTCTTTGTTTATTGCTGCTGTAATAACAGGTGAATTGACAATAACGGAATGATTTGTAGACATAGCTTCTGTGCCCAACTTCATACTGGCATTCTCCGTGGACAAATAAGGACCCAAGTTGTTATAAAGGACAAAGGCCACTCTGATCTCTCCTGAAGTAAATGGAAATGTGTACATGTTGGGAAAAAAACACTGATAAGTTTGTACATTGTATTTAAATTAATTCTAATTAGACACCAATCAAATCTTTACAAACAATTTAAAAAATCAAGCATTTATTTGCTTGGCACCAAAATTCCAAATCATTCACGAGAAAAGGAAAGTCAAATTCTACACAAATAACTACATATCAGTATTTTTAAAAAATGAACTCAATTCTATTTTACTCCATATTCAAAACTAAATTTTAGATGGATTATACACCTAAGCATAAAAGCATGACCATAAAGCCTCTAAAACAAAATATAGGATGATACATTTTAACTTTGAGAAAGGGAAAATGACTTAGATTGGATTAAAAATGACAAAAATCACAAAATGGTAAACAGAACTGTATCAAATTTTAAAATTTGAATCTATCAAAACATATCAAGAAAATGAAAAGCAAAGCACAAATGAAGGAAAAAGATAGGACTCATGTAAATATAAAGCATTTCTGCTAGTCAACAATTAAATAATAAAGAATATTTTAAAATGGAAAAAAGTCATAAATAAATTCTTAAAAAATAAGTGAAAGACCAGGATACATATGAAAAATGATCTGTGTCATTGGTAATTAGGGAAATAGAAATTAAAATTTTGAGGTAGCATTTCTTTCCAACTAGAATTTTTAATAGAGATTCACCACAATAATGTTAGTAAGGATGTGGAGCAATTGGAAATCTTGTACATTGCTGCTGGGTGTGTTAAAATGTTTGATTACAAAGAAAAATGGCAATTTCTTTTAAAGGTCAACATATATATTCTCTTCCTAGTAAGTGAAAGCATATATTCATAAAGAAGAAAATTTGTATAAGGAAACTTTAATACAGAATTCTTATTCATAAAAGCCCCATATGATAATAGAATCTACTATGCATCAATAATGAACGCGGTAGCACATTGCCTGTAATCCTAGCAGCTTGGGAGGCAGAGGCAAAGGATCTTGGGTTCAAAGCCAGTCTCAGCAAAAAGCAAGGCGCTAAGCAATTCAGTGAGACCCTGCCTCTAAATAAAATACACAACCAGGCTGGGGATGTGGCTCAGTGGTTGAGTGCTCCTGAGTTCAATCCCCAGTACTACCCCCGACAAAAAGAACAAACTATAGGACATAATGACAAAAATGTCAAAAATATCTTATTGAGTTACAGAATCCAGAGAGAAAAAAGTACATATGTATAAAATATGTGATTATATAAAATCTAAGAATAGGACAATTGTGTCTGTAAAATAATAATGAGAAGAAAGGTTCATTAGGTAGGCACAGAAAATAAAAAGAGTCGTAAGAAACACCAGGGAATATTTTGGGTAATAGAAAGAAATTTATTTTTTGTTTTATGTGACTTTACAGAGTTATACACGATGGTCAAATTCCTTAAGCTAAACTCTAAAAGTTTGTGTATTTTATTACATGCTAATTTGCTATTTATATCTCAATTACAATTTTTTTTAAGGATACCAAAACTTTACCTATACTTTTAGGTATCATTTCCTTGGGTGGGGAAAAGGGGCAGGGACTCAAGTGCTGTGTGTTACTTCCAGGATACAGGCATATCAGTTCACCAAGAGACAGGCACTGTCCAACCACTGTGGCTACAGAGATGAGGAAATCACAGTCCCCATTTCTGAATCTTCGAGTTAAGTAGAGAAAGAGAGAATTCAGTTGAATGGAATGACAGACTAAAAAAAAATTTTAAAAAAATCTCTATAATATAAAGAGGGGTGGCTGTCTAACATATAATCTGTACTCCCATGTTTGAGAAATGTGTTATGCTTAGGGATTTATAGATGCAAAATTTACATATATTTGCCTTCCTGTCTTGCCTTGCAAAGAGGTTGTTCTGGGCACCTCTCAGCTAGCTGCATCTAAACAGATGCTGTATTCTCATTCTGTAGATGAAGAGCTAGTGATACAAAAAGCAGGAGGAAGAGCAGAAATAGCAGCAACAGCAGCAGCAGCAGCAGTTCTGTTACTGTTCCCCAAATGTGGCAGCAGAGACATCTCATAGTAGATTCTGTGCTGTGGTACAGGCTGTTGTCGGCCTGTTTTCTGAGACATATATCATGGGACTCTTTTTCCTTTCAATAACCCAGCAAAGAGATTATAATGAGAGCTACACAAGGAAGGAGATCTTATTTAATCTTTATATGTCAACATAGTACTATATAAATACTAGTAATTCACTAAGAATTTGCTGTCTCTTACAACAGAATAATTTTAGCTCTTTCCCTTTAGATTTTATAAGTGCCGATTTTTGAAAGGCAAAAGCTTAATATTATAAAGTTTTATTTTAATTGTCTTATGATCAATTGATAATTCATCCCAATTTTCACTTATGGTTTGATGTCCAGTTACCATCGCATCTAATTATGACTACTGCGACATATTTCAGTCTTCATTTGCTTTGTGTCTGAAGGTTCACACATTTACTCAATGTGTCCTTGGTGAGCACACTGAAGTGCCAGGCATGGTTTAAAGTAGTAGGATTATATCAGTAATAAGAATAAATGAAGTCCCTGTTCTCATGGAGTTTACTGCCTAGAGGGAGAGTCAGACATTAAGCAGGCAGTAAAAAAATAATATTAATACTAACATAATTTCTTATAATGGCAAAAGAACAAATGCTATGGAGAAGCATTGGCATAAACATGGCTAATGGGAAAAGAGTGATTGAGAAAGAGTGATCTACCTTAGAGGACATGAGGAGGATTTTCCCTAAAGAGGTCAGATTTTTTTAAGAAGTGAATGATGGAGAGGCTGCTATCACACAAAAAATTACATTTTAAGAAGAAAGAAAAGAACTCGCACAAAAACTTGATGTAGGATCCTGAGCAGTATGTGTGAGAAACAGAAATAAGACTTGGTTTACTTGGATCACAGAGGGTATGCTAAGATAGGCATGAGCTGGGACAAATGAGGTAGGGAAGAAGTGGACCAAGAAGCTTGTGGTGGGTCCAGTAAAGTCATGTGATTTCATTCTAAGTGTTACCCAAGACGAACTGGTCAGATTTCTGTTTCTGGAAGGACCCCTTCTCAACAGAAAATGATTATTGAGGACAGGAGCAAAAGCAGAGAAAACAGTTACAGGATAACTCAGGAATTACTCAGGAATTAAACTTGATTGTATACAATCTTATTGTCGCTTCAAAAAATCTCTTTAGTCCAATGAGCAACATAATAGTAATATATTAGTTCGGTCTTCTAAGACTTCTAGCACTAATAAAGCATTTTATTCTGATGACAACAAATATAATTTTTCTTGATAAAGTTTAACATGATCTATTTTTTAAAAACCATTCACCCGCAATATGTTGCTATGGCCTGAAGTCACCCTTCCCCCCACCCCCTGTTATATCACAGGTTAAAAGATCTCCCTGTCTTAGCAAAAACATGATTTTAAAAATTTAAGATTGGTAAAAATTGGGATGTACTTTCTCTATAAAATTACTTATTTATTGAATTTTAGTTTTTTTTCAGTGAATTAAATCTAGCAGTAAGCTAGGCTGACCTATATATACCAGTTCCATTGCTCCTAAGTATCTCTTTACATTTAAATTTTCTGATGCTTTGCAAAGAAAAAGTACAGAAATTCTCAAAAAGATATTGAATGAAAAAAAATATATGTACTTTAAAAATTACAAGTAAAATTAAAAGGAAAATATTACAAAGATAAATCTGTGGAATAATAATCAGATCATCTGGGTTTGGGGGTTCATAATTTTCCTCATATTCAAGTTTCTCACAACTGAAAAGCAATGGAAGAATTTCCAAATCTGACAATAGAATTCTGCAGAATAAATAGTATTGTCATATTGATGGTACAGTAGATAAGAAGGAGAAGAAAAGCAGGAGAATGAGAAAGATATAAGGAGAGAGAGAGAGATGTCTCAGATAGTGGATCTTATATTCCAAGGCAAGAAGCAATGAATTGATGCAAGTTCAATACTATTAAGCATAAAAAAAAAAACCCTCTAATTTACCATTGCGGCCATTCTGCTTTAAAGTATTTGCAGAAAGCTGGATAGTGCTTCCATGGGCCATATTTTCTGGAAATTTTAGGTCTTCTAAGTTTCCTTCTGTGCTCAGCCTTGCAACTTCTAGTTCTATTAATAACAAAGAGATATCCAACACATACATTGAGAAACATGACAAAGTTACAAGAATATTTCTATAATCAGAACACTGGAGTTCTTGTTCTATTTTTCATGTTAAAGAAGTTCAATCTTTAAGAAAATATATTATCAGTGATTTCATTTTTTTCAACATAAAGCAAATAAAAACTTGAAAAATCATGTAAATACTACAAATGTATCCATAATATATTAGTCTAAATTTTAAAATTCAAACCTAAATCTTATTACTTTGTCATTGGCCTTTGATTAATTTTCAAAATACTATCTTTGTTTTATGAATTAAATAAAAATCCTCATATTGGAACTGTCATGTCAAATCATTATTGATCTCTCTTTAAAATTAATAAATATAAAACAGATTTATTAAATGTCCTGATATAAAATCATCAGTTATGTTTTAAACCACAATAAAAACAGATGTATACTCTTTATAAGCCAGATAATATAATTATCAGTTTATCATCTTTAATCACTTGACTTTTTAGAGCATCTAATTCACATGTAGAAATGACCTATACTTGTGCATTAGGAGAAAAAATACTAAATATTACAAAGCATGCATAGATAAATACATATGTAAAAATTCTGAAAATGAACAGACCTCACTGTAAGCCATCCTAGAATGATATATCCCATATATCCCATATCAGAATGTCCTAAGAGTTTAACATACAGGACTTTCAACCTGATTAACCTGAAAGGTTGACACTCTTTTCATCTGAGTGAAAGAACAACTTATCTCTATTGAAATAAAGTGTCATTTATATCTGGGGTGCCTGGTATAATTTTTTCTCTTCCCTTTCCTGTTATACAAGGGTCTCTGGACATTCTGTATAACAAAGGCCACTTACGAATATTGTCTGTGTTCTCCCTGACAATGTCAGTCTTCAAAAGGTTATCAGCCAGCACAAAGGCACTCTCCTCCACGGTGTCAAGCAGCATGGTGGCTGCACGTAGTTGATCACTTGTAGTCAGGTCTCTCCAAGCATTCAAAGCTTGTGGCTGAAGGAGGTTGTTAACTGTCTCGACCATTGCCTATGAGAGGAGGGACAGAATGACAGAGGTCTCTAGTGAACCCACATAGCTGTCAGAAAACCAGGTGAACATGCTGCCCAGCAAGCAAGGATCAGCGGTGCGAATGAGCTCACTATTGTCCCAGCCTCCCCTGTGACATGCTGCAGCAGAAGCATTCATTATTTTTTTTTTTTCTGTAAAACCCTCTCTGAGACTTTGCAAGACAAGAGAAAAACCTGTTTCTTGCTTTGAAGGACAACAAATAGAGTCATACTTGCTCCACAAAATTAACATCACAGGTTTCAATAACACTGTGATCACATAATTAAATGATCTGGCTGGGGGAACTGTTTACAAGTAATTCAAACAGATAGGTTTTTTTTTCCCCTAAAGATCACCGTAAAAGTGGAGACTGACCACAACCAAGATGGAAAGGATGACTATAGACATGACAGTATAGGAATTCCTTCCTAGAGGTTAAAGACTCACAGAACAAACACCTTTCTTTTCTTCTTTCTTTCTTTCTTTTTTTTTTTTTTTCATTAGTCAGCTAGTAAAATGTCAGAATGAAGAAAATATCAAAACATACATAATCCCAGGGTTATGGATGGATGGAGAGAAATCTTCTTCAGGCTGTTTACTATTAGGGAGGGGAATAAACAGTCTGATTTCACTATACCAATGGATCTCAGGTGTTTTTTGTTTTTTGTTCTAATCAGCAGTGGGTTCATCCATATGGAAAGAGAAGCACCACATTTCTCCTTGCTTCATCCCAAAGAATCATCTCTATAGTTAAAACTTACATATCTCCTGTGGTTTCCTTTATGCTTTAGGTTACAAAGAAAACACAGTTCTCCCAATAAGGTCTTGAATTTCATTCAAACCCAGAGATTTGCAAAATAGAAAAATATAACACCTGCAGTTTGAAAGTGATCATCTCTGAACCTATTCACTATAAAATATGCCTCTAATCCAGAAATAAAGTTAAATAAACAGCCAACACAGACATAGTTTCTAGGCTGCATGTAAGTGTTTTAAAATGGGACTCATGTTATTGACACCTTGGCAGAGGGATTGGGCGAGATGGAGACATATCCTTTACACTGCAGAGTTTTCCTCTGGCTGCTGTTTTCATAGTAACCAAGTAACAACTGTTAAAAATTCAGCTTCATAATGAAACACCTAGGCTGCCAATTAACACCCGCTTCAAAAACTAATTTGCCTTTTGATAAAAGTTGTTTTTCTTGATATTTTCCCAGCTACTCCAAGTTCTGGCCCAAAATCAACATTATTGGACTTTTGAGTCAAAGAGTCTGAATCACAACTTGAAGACTTTGCATCACACTAACAAACCAAAAACATCTGTCATTTATTCAAAGACTGAACACTTTCACATAGTGTGCTTAGCTCTGTCATTTGTTCTGGGTTTAAAGCATGACCTAGTAATCAAACAAAAGTATTTCTGAATCAAAGCAAAACTATCTGCTTTCCAGGAAGTTCTCGTAGGGGTAGGGCCAAACAGGCTATGTCAAAAAAGAGATGCCAGATAGAAAAATCTCTCTACACACACACACACACACACACACACACACACACACACACACACACACACAAT